CTACTACTACTACTACTACTACTACTACTACTACTACTACTCCTACTCCTACTTCTCCTACTGCTCCTGCTCCTGCTCCTGCTCCTGCTCCTGCTCCTGCTCCTGCTCCTGCTCCTGCTCCTGCTCCTCCTCCTGCTCCTGCTGCTGCTGCTGCTGCTGCTACTACTACTCCTACTCACTTACTCCTACTGCTACCCCTACTACTCCGACTGCTGCTGTTACTACTACTACTACTACTACTACTACTACTACTACTCCTACTACTCCTACTACTACTCCTACTACTCCTACTACCGCTACTACTACTACTACCACCGCCGCCACCACCACCTCCACGACGACGAATACTACTACAAGGAAGCGCGGAAAGAGTTTTGGGACCAATGTCTTGGTTTGTGTCTCAGAACCGGCACAAACCAAGTACGATATAAGCAGCTCGTCCATGCATAAGCAACGATCCGAAGCCCTGCAAGCACATCTGCGTGTGCCCAACATTAAATTAGGAATGTAAGCATGAGCAGAGAGCCGGATCCTTGTCACGAAACTAAAAACTTGCGCGAAACCCGGGCACGGGACCATTGCGCCGTTTGTGCGCACACAAGCCCATGTCTACGCACGTTTGGTGGAATCGCATCTGAACATTCCAATTGTGTGGCAAGCGTTGCACTTTCAGCACTCAGCGTCATAAGCAGGCCGCCATGAATCATGAAGTATTCTGGACCAACTCTGGTATATGTGTTTGGCCACAGGGACTGTGTAAAGGGATCCGTTCCCAGTTGGGAATTCAAGGAGCAGGGCAGGGGTTTTAGTACCCGGACTTCTGCATGTCACGGCTTGTTCGGGGTTCACGTTTCTGAAAATTCCTTTCAGTGGGCCTTCAATGGCATCCGATGATGGGGTGACGGCGTTGACATTGATCACTTCCTCCTCTTGCTGTGAGCGTGTATTCACGGTTACCGGAGGCTCCGCCCTGCCGACATCGAAGCGTGACTCATCCTGTTGCCTGTGCAATGTAAGCACTCGAAATCACGAAATCATGAGCCTTTTGCAGTTAATCACAGCCGCACACAAACCGTGTGGAGTCAGCCCAAGTGATGCTTGAAGCAGGGGATTGTAGAATTGGCTTGTCCTAAGTGACCTTCGGAGGGAGGTATGGCCGCAGGAACACAAGGATCCAAGCTTTTGCTTGTGCTTCGAGTGTGGTTGAATCTAAGGCAAACTGCTGACCCGGCGGAGATGGCGACAGCAGCCCCAAAGCAGGCGTGGCAGATCGCGATGTGCATTATCCTTTCTGCTTTTGCCTTGCTCGGCCTGCGGGGTCAGAGCCAGGAGGGCTGTTGAGGAATTGCGCACTTCAGGACGTGCCCCAAGAGTTTGTGCTGGCCAGCGAGGCTGGGACCTTATTGCTTGAGAATGTGAATTGTTCTTGGTTCATTGGACATCGGCCAAGTGACTGAGGGGGAAGGTGCAGGACCCATCTTCTGCGCATTACATTACATTGACATAGACCACATACAGGAGTGCTTGGAGTCAAGGAGTGGAGGCACGTGCCGAGGCCCTTGGCATCATGTGGTGGCCGGAGGCGGAGAACAGCAAGCAACAGCTGCATCGTCGCTCAGTCAGGAAGGACAGCAGGCAGGGTGCAGGAGGAACAACCGTCCCGAAGACTTACAACAACACTGGCGCAGATCAAAGCGATGATTTGGCAGAAAATGTTGGTGACCACAGCACAGGACTGCCACGATGCGTTTCGACCACACAGCCGTTAATCATGATGTCAACTTCAACAAACTGCCCCTGCGAGTGCAGCACCGTGAACGCTAGCGAACACTGGCGAGAGGCGGGATTCAATCTAGTGTTCAAGGGCCCACGCACGGATTAAGCGAGCGGGAGCCTTTACTAACACACCTGGCCACCTGGGAACCATTTGGGAAGGCAGCTTCAGGAGAAATGCCGTTTCTTGCGCCTTGGTGCAGGGGAAATTGTCTTGATGCATCTCGTCGTGACCAATACACACGTCTGATGCTCACATTATGTGCGAAGGCCACCACCCTGATGCCGTCCGAGAAGGCAAGTCGGGCCAGAGCTGCGATTTCAACATTCGATAGGCCACAGCCTTCATGAAACCTCGGCGAGGTAAGTTTGTGAAAATCCAAAAGAACTCCTGCTGACAAAAGTACGGCCTGATGCTTCGTCTAAGCTATGTATGTATGTATGTATGTATGTACGTATGCATGTATGTATGTGTGTATGCGCGTTAGTGCAAACATGTTTGTGCCCGTTTGAGGTGCCCCCCTGCGAACTTCCTCTGTGGTCGGCTTCCCAGTTGTGTATCCTACTATCCTACACTTTCACATGTTTTGACAAGCTTGGCGTGAGATATACGCCAGCGGTGACTTTCCGACCACGTCTTGCGTTATTTGTTGCCCCAGCCATTTTGCCAGATGCCGTTGTCCCATGTGGCAGCTGCTGCTTCAGATAGTTGCTGAGCCGATTCTGTTATGAAGGTTTACAGGCCCTCTGCGCGTTGCGCCAGAACAAGCCGATCACATGGCACTTCCGCCCCCGTTGTGACCAGTCGCACACTCCTCCATCAGCAGAGCAAAGACCATATTTGTGGACGGCCTGCAGGCCCAGTGTGATACTCAACATGACCGCACATGCGTCTTCGAGATTTTCGGACATGGTGCCTGATCATGTATTGATGATAAACAGCCTGCGAAGAGTAAGATTTTGCCAGCGATGCCTTGATCACTCCTCGAGGCCGGCATGAATGAGAATCTTGCGGTGATGCGGCAGAAGTGCTGCTTAGGCCTGCATGGTGTTGGTAATGCAGAGGAAGGAAGCGGAATGTCATGCCGACCTTGCGACCCGAGCCGCAGAATGATCTGGTTCCTAAAGGTTTACGACGTCATCGGTTCTGCCGGCGGCGGTCCAGCTGCATGTCGCAACTACAGTCGCAGAAATCCCTGTTGGGCCAATGCAGCAGATCTCGGAAGCATTGAAGCACGGCTTTTTTCGAAAACCCCTGCTTCCTTTGGCAGCGATGATGCCGTTGTGGACTTTCCTGATAGATGCATGTCGCCTAGCCGGTGCATGTCTTATCCTGTCGCATTTCCCTGCCAAGGGTTCTGGAACTCCCAGCTTCGGGCCTTTGTGTCATAACCTGTGAGCAGCCCATCGTGCGCTGGAAAGGAAGAAACAATCGCGATACGTGCTTGCCAGCATGACGAACTTGGCAGACCTCGACGGACTACAGGTTCACTCGCGTCCCCGGCTTTCGGTTGTTGCCACCCAATCTCGGGGACCAACAGCGGACCTGCAAGCTCAGAACACAGAATGCCCAAGATATTTCTTGAATCTGAAGCTGCATCCCCCGCCCACCCAAGTCCCAGCCTGGTGTTCGCAAGGGCAACAGCAGGTATTGTGTCGCGCGCCGCATAACTATATGTTTCTCTGTTTGGATCTTTTGCACAGTGGTCTCGACGTCCTGGCTTTTGCAGCATAACGGTAGACAGTTGAGGTGCGTGATGCCGAACCCAAGAGACGTGGCGGAGCTGGCGTGCTTTTTCAAGCTCGCAGAGCTGCATTTTGTTTTTGCTCGTTGGAGACTTGTCGTCGCAGTGAGTCCTCTCGTGATGTGGCACCTACACAGGACAAAAGTCTGCAGACAAGAACCAAAGTGACTGATGGCACGTTTTAGAAGTTGCAATCAGTGGCTAGCTTTAGAGATACGAACCGTTGCTACTCGCGGACCTGCATTTCCTCTTGTCATCTCGGACCAGTGACTAGAACTTCTGTCAGCCACTCGGGCATCAGGAAGACCGACGCGAGCCTGATGTTCATAATGCCTAGTCTGATTAATTTGTTTAGGGGTGGGAAAAGCTGAAGGGTTTGTTGGAGAGACGGGGAAAGGATCCAACCTGCGCGGATCTGGGGTACGCAAGCGAGCAAGCAAGAGGAAACACTGGAGTCGCTGGGGTCCCAAAGCCCCGTCCATCTGCAGAAAACAGTGCGCGGATGCAGCACAAGAAAGGAAGGAAGGCGGAAAAGATAGAGCGTGAGCGAGCCAGTTGGGTAGGAGCGGGCGTGCCGGGAGGGAAGGAGCCTTAGATCACCTGAATGGATTGCAGCGTGTGCATTCTCGGTTTGCTCATGTGCTAGTCCCTGCATGGCACAGCTGTCCCTTTCATACGTTTCAACGTGGCAGGAAAAGGTCTTGGAAATTGTGCCAGCCTCAGATTAGAGCTGGCTGTGCAGCATCCCAACGGTGATGTAAATTTGGAATTGAAGACTCCCCGGCTGGCATACCCATTCCATTCTAAACAAGAGAAGCACAGCTTGCAGGTGAGGCATGTTCCCGGAAGCAATGTCCCGTCGAAGCGCATGAGGTTGGGACGCCGGTTGCTCAGGATTTAATTTGAAGCATTCGCGATCAATGTTTCATAAAACACGACTGGCCGCCATGAGGTCGCGCCTGGGCACTCCTCGGACGGAGGCCCTTCAATGACACGAGATGCAAGAGAAGTGTTGAAGGGTAACTTCTTCGATGACTGGAACGAACTGGAGCACTTTCGGCGAACAAGAAGAGAAATGGAGCAACAAAAGCCCTTTGCAGTCGGAGTCGTGGCACGCGGCCATAGATTCGCGGCACGAATGCTTTGCCCCGGCCTACCGGAGACTGCGGTCCTGAGGTGGGCTGAAGGGCCACCACATCGACGGCCACAGTTCCTGCGAAGTTGACATCCGCATTCAGCCAACCTGGCAGGAACACCTTGGCCGATCCGTCATCAGCCCTGTCGCACCGCTATCTACGTTAGATCTTTTCGGCGAGTGCACAATTTCAGCGGTCCTACCTCCTCTTCTCCTCGTCCGGATCATTTCTTCGCACCCCAGGTTCCATGCTTAGTGAGGCGATGCCGCAAGCTGAAGAATGCAGCATGCTAAACCTTGCAGGGGACCGTGTTGTCGTCCTACCGTGTGCGTGTAGGACAAGGTAGGAAAGCTTGAAACCGCATGAGCTATCAGGTTTGGTGTTAGAACCAATAAAGTACCACGGAAAGTTCTGTCAGGGCTGTGGATTGGCAGTGTGCGTCACGAATGCATTCATCTTATACCGCTACGCATTGCCGAAATCCTAATTGAGGTGAGTATATTGCATGCTTCTGCATGCGGTTCTTCGAATCGTGGCCAATTGCAAGTCGCTTCGCGCATCGAGCTTCGGCAGGCTGCATGAGGCCCAAGCTGCAGAAGCTCGGCGAGCAGGTGTGCCCGAGCCGGCCACCCAGCGAAGTCTGCAGTGCCTTTTCACATGAGCACGTTTCGAACTGTGTGCAGGCAAGCAGAAAACCCGGATGAACTTTCTACGTGATGGCATGTGCACACAGAGGGGGGCTTTCAGACAGGGGTGCTCTGGGAGTGCAAGTCGGCATGGGATGTCGGGCATTGGTGCAGAACCATTCAACCATCTCATCTTAGTTGCAACACTCGTAGACATTTGACATCTGTGCCTTTGAGATGGCAACATGGCAGTCCTCGTTACCTGCGATCAACCTGCAGCTCTTGAATGGTTGAGGAAACCTCTGCACCCAGCACATTCGTCCTGGAGCCTTTGCCAAGCATTGAGAGAGCTTGGTGCAAATAAAGTATAGGTTCGGGCTGTGGAAAACAAGCAAGGGCTTGACCTTCACAAATCTGCTTGTTCTAAATTGCTAAACCCGGTTGAGGGCTTCCTTGTTCTAAATTGCTAAACCCGGTTGAGGGCTTCCTTCGTTTACAAGTTGCGAGACCAGCGAGTCAGCTGCAGGAACTGGAATGCCTCGAGTGCGACAGTGGCTTATTGCTATGCCTAGACGGTGCGACGGAGGTCTTGAGTGCCGGCTCGAAGATTCAGACGACGCTGCTGACAGGAGATTCTTGGCAGGAGGCGGCGACGGCGCTGTACGGCATCGAGGCACAAGCGGTGGAATCGCAGCCAGGTCGGGACGATGCAAGTGGCAGGCACTGTCCTCTGGACTTCTCGATGCTGATAGGTGTTATTGAGGCCTCCTCCGGTCAGTCTGAAGTCGGTGCAGACGTTCCAATTGCGCGAGACTCCTTCAAGTTGCGATTGAAAGGTACCGTGCGATGTATTCCCTGGAGTGGCATAGGGTGGAGAAACGTCCATGTCGACACCGTGTCCAAGTTTGGCCGGGGTGGCAAAGTGCATGCGCACATCGCAGCCGGGCCAAGGACATGGCGAGTGTCGCTGGAAGCACGATCCGTTAAGCTTAAGACATCTTCGGCAACGGTTTTCGCTGCTTACTCCTATGGGCCTCTGAGATGCGGGCAATCAGCTTCTCGGACTTTTCGGACTCACCCTCCGGTCCTGGCAAGACACAACGTTACAACACATCTCCCCAAGGGCTTTGCGGCATATTCCTTGTCCGCAACGACGGAGGCTCTTGAAGCTGCGTTTGAGGAGTCCTTGCACTTGGAATTGTGGACGCGGGATGCATTCCGAAAAGACTCCTTGTTGGCTGTAGCAGAAGTCTCCTTGGCATCGGCATTCTCACAGCCCCTGAGACGTTCGGCCAGGTTGCCGAGCATGGTCCATGGTTTTCGCGTGTTTGACCAAGTGTGTCTTCTGGGCAGTGCCGAAGAGAAGCTTCCAGACATCGTTGGCGAGATCCGTGTCCTGTTCTTTGTCGAAGACTTGGGGCCCGCTTCAATGCCTGTGCCTTCCGACGGACCTGTTGCGAGCATCGGCAAGCTGCCGGACATTCGAGCGACCTCCGTCAATTCAGGCAATGGACTATCTGACCGCTCCGGCCACGAAGTTGCGGTCAGTTTGGCAGGCTTTGGGCTGCACGACGACCCACAGGTGCTCGCGGCACTCGCTGCCGAAGGCCTTGAGGCTTTAAGGTCCAGCCCTGCATATGGCGTCGCTTTTTCCTTAGAGCTCTGGAAGCAACAGGAAGAGGAGCGTGCCAAGGTTCGTCTTCGAGAGTGCGAGGCTCACTTACGCGAGCAGCTTGAGGAGGAGTACCGTCAACGCGAACTGGTGCGAGTGCAGACTTTCAGACAGAGACAAGTAGAGCTCAGGGAGTTGGAGCAGCGCGCCAAGAAGAAGCTTGCAGAAATCCAGCAGCGGGAGATGTCAGTCAACTCGGAACTGTCCAACTCAGCTGTGGTTCAAGAGCAAGCCAAGCGAAAAGCCGACCTTGCCATCCAGTCTTGTGAGGAAGCTCTGCGACGTCAGAAGGCAGAAACTGCGCAGGCACTGGACTTCGAGGACAGGAAGCACTCTGCACTGGAGTCCAGACTGAAGGAGCTGGAGCTTGAGGCATCAGAGGCCCGCAAGAGATGTTCGGAGCTGCAGGCCACTTTAGCAAGCAGGGAGGCAGCGGACTCCAGTGCAACGTTGTCAGCAGAGCACGAGCTGCGGGGTGCCTTGGCTGCATGCTTGCATGGATTTGTTTGTGATGATCTCGGCTGTTGGTGTTGCAAGCGAGCCGAAAGAAAATAGATAATGTGCAGAATTTGCTCCATGTGCGAATGAATGGGGAGTATTCAAATCGCTTTTCAGGCCTACAGCTGAAGCTATGTGAGGAGAAGGTGCGGTGTGAAACCCTGGCTGCGTCACGCGATCACTTCCGTCGAAAGGTTGAGGAGCTTTGTCAGCGAATCTTGCACCAGCAAGTGCCAGAGGCTGTGCCAGAGGAGCTGGTACCCTCAAACGAACTACAGTTGCCTGCTCCAGCTCCAGTTCTGCAAGCCGTGGCGAGCAACTCATCTGCATACCCGCGAAGCAAGCCATCGCCCGACTTCAGTTTGGAATGGCTTCAGCAGCAGAAGAGTGAGCTGTTGGCGAGCGGCCTGTACACAGACGTTTCTTGGCAATGTTCAGTAAGGCGTTCACTACCGCGAAAAAGAGCCGTTGATACTCAGCGATTGCGCTGACACAAGATACGATTCGGATGTACTCGGAGCTTTCTGCAAGTCTCCCAGGAGGACGCTGTGATCCGGGCACTGAATGCACAAATGGAAGAGCTGCAAGGCAAGCAAGCCAACTATGCTTGATTTGCGCTTCTCGCCTGCACTTTTCGAAGACGGGGACAGTACTGTAGGTTCGAACACATGGCACAGCAGAGAAAATCGATTTGTGACTTTTCGGCTTGCGGTTGCTGAGGAGAGCGGCCTAGCATTCCCACTGCCCGTTTCGTCAATGGTCGTGCAGATCAACTTGGCAACATCACGGGGAAATTGCCGAGCTGCAGGCACCCACTGACTCTGCGACTCTGAAGGTTTGTTCCGCCCGGAGCTCGCACAAGCTCGGGTTGGCATCAAGGAACAAAAAGCAGCAAGTAATCAGCATGTAGCAGCTGCACGAAATCCTCCAAGCAATGAAGTGTTCGTCCACCACTGCCTGCTATGCCTCCAGCCTCAGGCCTGATATTGGCTTGGCATGTCCTTTGTCGCGAGTCTGCCTTGATTTGCGGACGCAGCTCACCCTGCCCGCTGCCTTGGGACCCTCTCGCCAGGTCGAAAGCCCACGCCGTCGTGCTGCAGAATTGGACGGGCAAGATCTTCTTGAAGGACCAACTCAGCAGAGGTGTTCTAACTGCAGCAAAGTGCCTTCAGGATCTCGGCTCTGCCCACGGAACTTTCCTGAGCGGAGTGCGACTGAACCCTCATGAGCCGCAGTCTGAGTGTACAGTCGATAGCCGCATGCAGCAGCCCTCCCCTTCCGATCCAGGCCTTTTGAGTGGCAAGCTGGCACGAAGGCGTGGGGACTTTGTGATGCCCGGCTTGTGTGGTCCTGCGAGCCGCAGCCGCAGGCTTTCTTTGCGGATGCCAGCACCGAGTTCTTCGAGCTGAGAGCAGCTTGACGGGGTACAAAATTGGCACTCCAGATCAACAGAGCAGGTAAGACGAACTTGCAGCATCTTGCAGCAGCAATCGCAGTCAAGAAAGTATGTTTCAGGCATGTCAGAGTTGGGACTCCGCATTGGCCCGTGCATCCTGACGCAATGCTGCAATGCTTCGCAGCGACTTCTGGGATGCTGGCAGGGGGGGGGGGGGGGGGGGNNGGGCGGTCACAAATTTGCAGCAAGTGCTGGCGCAAGTCTGGCTCAGACTGCAGACGCTCGCATCCACGCGTCCTGCCCATGAGATCAGTTTACATTGTCGGGCTTGTGAGGCTTGCGAGGCACATTTTGTTACATAGCTTTCAGAAGTTTGTATTGAATTACGTTAGTTTAGGTATAACACTTCTACCTTCATGGTTGCAGCCGTGGCCACTGTAGCCAGTAGCAAGACGATTTGACGCCATGGCGTTGAGGGGCGCAGCGTGAGCCTCAAGCGTCGTGTCAGTGGCAAAGTTTCACCGGAGATCAGGAATTGTTTTCCGAAGGTAGTGAATATTCTTCCCAGTACCACTATGTTTCGTTCCACGTTCGCACCTCAGATGCGCTTTTTGACCGCTGAGAATGACCGTAGCGCCATGTGACTATTGCGAGGGCGTGGCCACTGCAGTGGATGGGGTTCGAGGCGGGTTGCGCAAGCGGCCATTCAGATGTTTTTTGGGGTGTCAGTGCGCACAGGCCACAATCCCAGGCAGTCCATTGGCAAACAAGGAGTCTTCAAGAGACACAGGCCGGGGTAAACCTTGGATATCCGAAACAACAGGCCATCTATGGGAATTGAACTGCATGTAGTCGTGTTCTTATCCTGCTGTGTGAACTTGGAGGCTGGTTGGCCAGCGCTTTCCTGGCTTTGTTAATTTGTTTGGCCGCTTCATCCTCAGTTGTTGGGATCAAACAACAAGTAACAAGAACATACATTGCAGCACGGTGAGCCTCAGATCGCCGCCTTCTGCTGGATGCAGCGAAGGGAACGAATTGTTGAGCAATATGCGGAGGCTGGGAAGTTCTCCCGCAAGTGCACGTGGTGCTTCTAATTGTAAAGCCAACACTTGAGCTGCAGATTTGCATCCCACGCCTGCACCGAAATGAGTTTTGTTTCTTGAGACACGTTTAGCGCTGCTGCACGAAGCTGTATGGACTCGAGGAGGAGTCCCGCATGCGCAACACCATTGCAGAGGCTCAGGCACACGATGGGCTGGCATCAGATCCGAGCCTTGCTCCAGCGATGTTGTGACTGCCGTTGTCATCCTGACTTCTTACCAGTTGCCTGACATCTTAAGTTTGATTGAGCCATCTGGCTCGAACTGGCAAGCTCCAAGGCTTGATTTGATTGTTAGCATTGAACGTAACACCAAGACGTTGCGACTCACGACACGGAGATATTGAAGCTTGAGACCACTGTTAAAGAGGTTCCACTTCAAGTTCTAGCGGCACTGCTTCAAGTTTTAGCGGATTCTTGCCGTACTGTAAAGGTGGAAAGCCGTTCAAACGTGGACTTTCTTTTGCTATTCAAGGACATTGAACCCAGGAAAGACGGCGTACTTTTCAGCAGTACAATGGAGTGCAAACTAGTCGCTGGTTTGTAAGAAGGAAGCACATGGCATGACAGTCCTAACACCCCACACGTGAATGTAGCCACCATCGAATGGGACAGCAGGCGCAACAGTTGTGTGAGGAAAGCCTGGTTGAGCTGTGTCGCAGTGTTTGAGCTGAGAAGTACAAAGAGTGCAGGGGTGCACATCTCTGCTTTCCAGGCGGCCAAATCGCTGGCGCCGTGCGTTGTCCGTGGCAAATCTAGTGACGCAGAGGGCGACCAGCAGCAATTGAGTCTGTATCAAACTCGGCGCACGGTAGCCGTGTTTTCGGCATTTTCGGTCTTCACTTTCGCTTGTGCCAGCGAGCAAACCGCTGAGGTGCCTCCAGAGAGTAGAAGGACTGTTGTCAGACACCGAGACGCTCGAGCGAGAGCAGAAGCCTCAGTCTCTGACGCCGTTTGCGAGCCCTTTGGCTTGGTAGCTCCAGAGATGGTCCTTATCTTTAGATTTTCCGAGGTGCGATGCCCACTTTCGCCGAGCCGGTCTCGATGCACATGGTGCCATGAGGCGCTTTTGCAGTCTGGCGGATAATATCGGATAGGCCTGATGCATGTAATACTCGCTGGTGGCAGATATAGCCCAAGGCTGCGATGGCACAGTTTGCGCCGCTTAGCTTGTGATGTGAAGGCGCATTGAGCTTCGAAGACTGCTCTGGACTTTTGCGCACAGCCTCGGCTCCACTGAGCAGCTTGGCCAGAATCCTGGAGTGAACGCACATGAGCACCACAATCTTGGCAAGGTTAACATGGGAAGCCATAGAGGCTCGCAACTCAGAAGGGTGCCGTTGCCTTCAAGTGGTGAAGCGTTCCGCCTTCCTCTATGTCCAAGGCATTCGCAGTCACAGGAACGTTGGAAGCCAACATGCCTGTGGTCACGAAGGACGAGTTTTACAGGTGATGCCCCGAAGCATTTAGTGTGCACAAGCCCCTTCATTTGTTTGGTCCTTTTGCTTCCGGATGGGTTAGAAGCTCTGTACCTCAGATATTTTCAGATCAGGGCCGTTGTTCCCCCAAAGCATTCCCTGCTACAACAAGTTCGAGACAAAGGCGGCACAGTTCTTCGATGTTCCGTTTTCGATGCATAAAGGCGCGCTTGTCCTTGATCGTACAGCTCTAGCCACACCTTCAAGTCAAGTGGAATCGGCGATCGAACACCCCAGAAGCAAGTGCATTGGCGCCACACCGCACTCGGGAATGTCAGGTGTGTGACCAAAACCGTGCACTTGGTTGCAGCGGAGCTGCGCCGCAAGTTACACGAGGTCAGTGGCCAAAAGCACATGCCGCAAGATCGGCCATCGGGCCTATTGAGGTGGAAGCGAAGCTGCATCCAGCTCCACGTCGCCCGCCGCCGGCTCCTCCTCAGCCTGAGGCGGCGAAGCTTCAGCATTGACTGAGGTGTTGCCTGGCTTTAATTCGAGTTGGCAGGTACGAAGAGATCCCCATTCGACTCCGAAAACACCTGGGAGGCTGACGCTTACTGGGTGGAAGCTACTTCTTGAAAGCCTGGCCACAAGATGCTTCTACCGCGAGACTTACGAAGTATGGAGCTGATAGGCATTCCAGTCCCTGGGCTGCTTTGGCTGAGCTGAGTGGCGACTTGGAAGGGGATACCTCTCTGCTTTCGTTCCCCTAGCCGCTCTAGCCCTAGGCCCCTAGGCATGATTTATCATGTGCCGAGGCAGCGATGCAGCATCACCCGTGTCTTCGCGTCTTGACAGATTTTCTGGTAGTCACATTGGTGCGCTTTGGAGTCCGTGAGCTTTTTTGTTTTCGGCACTGCATTGCTGCCACAATTGCAACGGAGGCGCGAGTCTCACGACTCTGAGCCAGCTGAAGCAGAAGGTGTTTTACCGTCTCAGGCCGGTCGGTAGACATGGCCTAGGTGCATCCTTTCCAGTCGGGTTACGGACTGCAACAGGTCCACATAGCTGCGTTGCGGTCACTTTGGCTACGAGCGTAAACGTACATAGCATGCCATTGCACGTAGTCCTCGCGGTAGTTACCGCCGTAGTGGTGTGGTGCGGTTTGGGGTTTCGAGTTCTGCTTCGGGACTCTTTGTGCTGCATACCTCATCCCTGAATCCGCCCTGGCAGGTCAACACATGAAAGCCCACCAAAGCTGAAGTGATAAAGGGCATGCTGTCAAGCTCTACATGTGTATTCAACCCTTGTCTTGCAAACAGGAGGTGCATGCTGCTCCCGTCCGTAAGCATGACGCATGTGAGCTCCATCGACGTGTAGGCCCTGTAGGCGGTCACCAAAGTGCAATGATTTGATGCCCTTGACTTGCCCGGCAGAGTTTGCACGCCGGGGTAGAGATGGTAATTATTCGGGGCTCTTCCTGTGCAGGTCGAAGCGAAACTGGCCGCACATTCCCAGGCGCTCAAAGCTTCGTCACAGAAGAAAAGAGCAGTAGAGTAAATCTCGACAGACGTGCAGCGCACCAAGTTCGGCCCTGGTTGGACTTGCAATGCTACAGTCGGCAACTGTCAGCACGACAAAACTGCTCAGGAGAAGTTGATTTCGCAAGACTCCATCGAGCAGTCTTTCTTTCGACCGGCTCCCGATGCAGAGGCGGTTGGCGGCGTACGATCATATCCCGCCCAAATTTACTGCGCCATGAACAGGACCAGTCGACAGCTCGGGAACAAAGCCAACCAACACACCAGGTGCGCTTCGAGAAGCTTATGCCAGAATGACGTTTAGCAAGCTCCACTCTTCACGAGTACTAGAGAAGGAATTCGAGATGTTTTGCAGGCAGACTCCGAGCTCGAGCTTGCATCGGTTTCGTAGCAGCTATTTAGCAATGCTTTGTGACTCCACATCGTTGCATATTGGCATTGAGTTAACTCTTCCCCCAGCAGCATTGCTTGTTCCTGAACTTATCCCCAGCTGCCCTAGCTGTCATGAGCAGGACGAGTCGGGGATCAATGGCATGATTGTTTGCCACTTAGTCAGCTACTTCATGGCGCCGTGCTGACATTTGATGTTGCCTTGAGAGTCCAGGTTCTGGTTCTGAGCAACGAGGGCAGCTTTGATCCACACACTTTGCTGGTGAATGGCGGAATGCTGGCACTGTCCTCGTCTGTGGCGGAGGCCAAGGGATGAAGGGGACGTGCCACGGGACCCTGGGATCTTAAGCTGACAGTAACATGACGTCCGAATTCTGCCTCCACCAGCACCGGGGGGAGTTCTCCTGGAAGGTCTGCTGAGGAGAGGACTTCTTTACGACAGTTCCCGGGGCAGCAGCACGAAGTCTTTGAGAACTTCTCCTGTGCATAGAATCCTTCTCGTTACTCCCGAAGGTACTGGTAGTCGCCCAGGGCTATGCATGTGTTGAGTTTGGCAGGCTAGGGCGCACATGAATCATC